GTTGAGGGTTGGTCTTTGTTCCATATTATTCTTTCTTGTTTTTGTTGATTTACTATAAATTTTTCTGGTCTTGTGTTTGGAAAATATAGTTGTTGATTGTGTGCTTCTTGGTCGTATCCTTGTTGTGTTATTCTTTTTTTGGATGGATTTTGAAGGACTTGTTGGTATGACCTCTTATTATTTTGGTTGATGAATTTTTGTGTTGTGGCTCGTCTTTGATTAATTTGTATTATATTATCCTCAGTTGTTGGTTTCGGTTTTGGCGCTGGGAAGTCTCTCGGATCTAGTGTATATTTATTAAAGGAATTTTGATTTGTATTTTGATTTGTTTTGGGGCATAGCATTGCCGCTTCATAATACGATATATTCTCAAATATCATTGTTTTTTTAATATTTTCTTGTCTCACAAATTCAGGGCATTTTTTGTCATTGGATTTATGATTTTCTGAGTTGCAGTGATAGCATTTGGTTATACAGTTTTTATGTTTGTCTTCTTCTTCAAGATTGATATGCTCAGCGCACTGAAAGCATCTTTGTCTTCCCTTACATAGCTTCTTTGTATGCCCATAAAGAAAGCAATTGTAACATTGTGTTACTCTCGGTATATATGGGATTACTGGGATTTTTAAGTTATATAAGCTAATGTATCTCGGTAAATTGGTTCCATCAAATGTGACAAGAATTGAATAAGTAGGTATATATTCATGTTCAATGATTTTATCTTGTGTAACATTTTTATTATCAAAATTTCTTCTTTGGACACGTCTATTCAATCTGACCACATTATTATATTTTTGGTTTTCGAATGAATTTATCATTATATCTCTTTTTAAGGTTTCAGGGTCTAAATCTGTGTCAATAGCTCTTACAACCCCTTTGCAAGATGTATAATTATATGGGATTGATACTTTTAGTCCTTTATTTTTTAATACTTCATTTTCAAGAAAGGCATTAGCTGTTTCATAATTCAGAAATTCTACACCTATTTTATTCTTCCCTAATACTTTTATTTTTTTAATATCATTAAATTTCAGATCAAAGATTTCTTTAGCTATTTTAATTTGCGAATATTTGCCAATGTTTTTGTTATCCGCTTCCACTGTAAGCAAATAAATTGAATCTTTTTTATTGTACATTCTTTCATACCTTGGCCGATTTATTATTTGGCTATCTATAGAATTTAAATTTATATTTGTATCTGATCTGACCTTTGGATTGGCTCAGTTATATTTGAGTTATAATTCAAATCAGGGGGTTCGGGGGGGACACCCCCCCCTTCCTTAGGCATTTTAGAAATTACGATTTATATGTTTTGTTTTTATAATTTTCAATTGAAAAATAGGTAAAAGGAATGGGTAACACAAATTGTTAGTAGACTCACCAAAAAATAATGCTTTGGTAGGTTGATTTCAAATTTTATCAATTTAAGGCAGCTGCCCTCACGAAGGATGTCACAGCACTCAATAATAAATTGATCTGCTTGCTTGTGTGCTTGTTTTATTTTCAAATACATATTATTACGGCAAACCCCTTGATCATGCCTTTTCAGAAGAATATTTCTGAACAACATCTTCCTTTTTTTAATATTCCTCTGCTATTCTGCTTCTTTGATGAAGTTTCATGCATATTATGGATTAATAGCAAACCCAATACTAACGTATATTGGGTGGTAGTCTGAATAAAATCAAAATCAAATAAGCTTTATTGCCAAAAAAACAAATAATGTCATAGACAAAGCAGGCCTTAAACCTAATAAAACAATTAAAATTATCTATTATCTATCTATCATAAAAAGGATAAAAATTTCAAAAAATGATCCACAACAATCGAAACCAACACAAAGAATTGTAAAAACTGAGGCAAAAACAAACAAAAAATAAAAATAAAACTTAGAAGTAGTCACGGACGTCAACTACCTATCACTCACATAATTATGTCACACAAATTAAATTAAAATGACGGTAAAAAATATATATATACATTATACGTGCGCTACAGGAATAAAACAATAAGCACAAATTACAAAAGTTGAATCATGAAAATAAAAATAAAAATAATAATAATAATGATATTGGTAGAGCCAATCAATTGATACAGTCAAAATCTATCATTCCAAAACTCAGTACAGTTATAATAAGCCCTCTCAATTAGTAACCTTTTCACCATCCCTTCAAATATTTTGTTGCTTTCCACTTGTCTTATTTCCACAGGTAAGTGATTAAATAATTTCCGACTATTGTATATAATAGAATTTTTAATTTGTGTCGAGGATGGTATTGGCAGTATTATATTATAAGTTTGCCTCGTGTTATACAAACCTGTTGCATGCAAGCTATTTCTATATTTTTTATGAACTAGGCAAACTGTCTCTAAAATAAATAGACTGGGAAGTGTTAAAATTTTATGTCTTATGAACAAAGGTTTACATGAATCTCTCATTTTAGCTCCACTCAAATACCTTATGGCTCTTTTTTGCAGCACAAAAACACTATCAAACAACTGCGCAGAACATGTACCCCAAAAACACAGTCCATATCTTAAGTGACTTTCTATGAGTGAGAAATATACATTTCTCACGGTCTGTGAATCAAGCTCTCCAGAGAGAACTCTCATTGCAAAGCAGTTGGAAGCAAGTTTTTTCCTAAGATTTTCTATGTGTGATTGGAATTTAAGTCTGCTATCAATGAGAAGCCCTAGAAATTTATTCTCATTGGTGCTCGACCATCAAGTTTGATAGATTCAAGTGTGCACCTAAAATGCATGACATTAGTTTTCGATATATTCAGTGTTAACTGATTAGCGTCAAACCACTGCTTGAGAGCAACTATGTCCCTATTTATTTTGTCACTCAAGAAACCCATACTAGTGTCGTGCCATAATATAGTTGCATCATCCGCAAACAATGTAAATTTCCCCGAGATGCCAAGATCAGTTATATCATTAACATAAATTAAAAACAATATTGGACCAAGAACAGACCCTTGAGGCACCCCATACTGTAATGTTCTCTGTCCAGAAACATCACCTCCAAAGCGAACACTTTGAGTCCTATCCTGCAAATAACTCTCAAACCATTTATAAGAGGATCCCCCAAATCCATAGGACTGCAGTTTCCACAGCAATATTCTGTGACTGACACAATCAAAAGCTTTCGTGAGATCACAGAACACCGCTGCGGCAACGTCATTGTCATTCAGTCTCAAGAAAAGTTCCTCGAGGAATGCAAATATTGCATCGGAAGTCCCCCTGGAAGCTCGAAATCCATATTGTTCGGGACTAAGAATCTTTTTTTCATTCAAAAATGAAACGATTCTTTTTTTTACTAGTTTCTCTACAATTTTTGATAGAGTCGGCAACAGGGCTATAGGTCTATAGTTTGAGGGATTTTGTTTATCGCCCGCTTTAAATATTGGGATTATATTGGCCCTTTTTAGACAGTTCGGAAAAAACCCATTTTGGAAAGAATTATTGATAGCATAAACTAATATGTTTAAAACATTGTCAGGTAACTTCCTGAATAATTTGACAGATATATCATCCCACCCCGAAGCATTCTTATTTTTAATTTCATTAAATGTAAACTTAACTTCGTTTACATCCGTAGGCACAAAAAAAAAATGATTCGCCTGTTGATGAATATTTGAAAAAATGTTTAAAATCGTGTGCAATGCCAATTTGGCTAGAGAGATTTTTAGCAACAGAACAGTAAAAATTATTAAAATCCTGAGGTGAAAGTGTGGTATCAACATCTGAATTTTCCCGTTTTTTGCCAATTAGCTCATTAACAATTGTCCAGGATTCTTTTTGTCTGTTACTGGATTCTATTATTCGTTTTCTATAGTACTTATCTTTAGCTGCGTTCACCAACCTACGATATATAGCCCTATAATTTTTATAATATGTCATGAAACAAATATTACTGATATAAAACTTACAGATGTAATGCAGTGAACGCATATTTTTTGAAGAAATCCTAATGCCCTCTGTTAACCATGGCTTTTTTTTATTTATTTTCAAGTTTTTTATTGGAAATGCTTTATTGAATATAGAGGATAACTTTTTATGAAAAGTTTCCAGAGGTTTATTGGAACTAAGAACTGCTTGCCAGTTATCACAGGCACACAATTCAGAGAGCTTATCATAATTTCTTGCACTGAATATCCGTCCCTTTCGTTTCACTTCATTACGTCTTCTGGTTCTGATCTTAAATCTACAAAAAATGGCCTCATGATCTGAAAGACCTGCATTTACAACACTTACACTACTATCATTTCTTTCAAAATTTGTGCATATGTTATCAATAGTAGTGGAAGAGTTAGGGGTTATTCTGGTGGGAGTATCCACCATGACATGCAAATTAAATGAACCCAATAAATTAACCAACCTTTGGGTGTTCCTATCAGCAGCCAAGAAATTTATATTGAAATCACCACCCAGCACTATTAATGAATTACAGCTCAATTGGCTTAGAATGGTCTCAAGCTTGAATAAAAAATCCTCTACATTCCCTATGGGAGATCTATACAAACATAGAACATACAAATTAACTTGCCTACAAAATACGACTGAAACCTCAAAGACTCTTTCTTCAAGCAAATGGTCAAATTTATTAATGTCAGAAAAACGAAAAGATTCCATAAAATCATTGTTTAGTAGAATAGCTGTTCCTCCATGTATCGAAGTTATTCGGCAATATTTACTTAAAACAGTATACCTTGTTAAATTAAAAGGTTCTTGAGGCTTCAGCCAATGTTCACATAACAATATTATGCTTGGGTATTGTAGACTGTCTAAAAATATATCAAGTTCGTTTAGTTTATTTCTAACAGATTGAATATTCAGTGCCACTATGGAGATACAGTCAGAGTGGTGGGTACATTTTCTAAAAAAGAAATCTCACTGTTTCCTGCTAGGGTGGATATATTAGACTCTGAAATTTTTAGGTCACTAATAATGTTTATGTTTTCACACCCAGAATCCACATTTAATGTTTCGCTTACATCATTCTTGTCAGCTAGTGGCACAATAGCATTAGATTGCAAAGGTTTAGTTTTTATGTACAAAGATAAAAGCTTACTAAGACTAGGAATATTATGTCGGAATTTGTTTCGCATTCTAAAATTCTCTATCACCCTAATGGAAGCATTATAGTTCCTACGCATAAATTCTGACAGTACGTCACTAACATTTTTGAACAAAAAGTTATTTGTATATTCACCAATACCAAAAATTTGCTTTAGGACCGAATAATCTATCATAGATTTCTTTACATTTAGGCAAACAATAACAACGTCATTCTTAGAATAGTCAAAAGTACTGCTGAAAATATTTTTTGCAACTTCATGTAGAGGGGCGTACGATTTAATTATTCCCGAAACCGCTTCTTCAGAGTCATTAAGCAAAATGCGTATCTTCGACGCACAGCCCCTTCCACTTTCGTCTCCCAACACTAGAACTCTTCTTTTACAGCAATGACCTTCATTATTCTCTAATCTAACAAGCAGAGATTCGACACACTTGGATTTGACTTGCTTACAGATTTTTTCTACTCCCATCATTGTAGGATCATACTGAGTACTGGCATTACTAACAGTTTCAGCATTATTGACAGTCTTTCTTTGATAGTTGCTAGTTCTCATCAAGAAGATCTCTTTTTGCGCTTTTTTGTAGTCATTCATACAAGTTTCATTGTCCTCAGTTAAAGTTCTGATTGAGGTCAACATTTCGTCTTTAAGCGACACTAAGTTTTCAAGGTCCATCTCTAGCTTTCTGTTTTTCTCCTTGATCTCTTGATTACTGGTTAGTAGATCGTCAATTTCGTTACCCAAGTTTAGGTTTTCTTCATTTATATTATGCAATTCGACTTTCTGCTTGTCAATCTTTTTTTTTGAGTAAAAACGAATAAAAACGAAGTACTTGCTACTACTACAGGTAGTAGTATATTCTACGAAGTATTTACTTCACAACAAAGGATTTAATAGTATATTACATACCGAGTAGGGAAGTGTTTCATTACTGTCGAGAGATTTATATAGTCAATCGAGGCGCGAGATTGACTATTAATCTCGAGACAGAAATGAAAACTTTCCTCCGAGGTTTGTATACTATTTTATTTGCAAACACTCCATTGAATATGATTAATCATTTAATTTTATTAATATTAGAAAAATAAAACAAACATGCCAAAATGTGTCATTCACTGATTTGACATTTTTACCTGACATGTTCTCATTGTTTCCAGCAAAGGTAAATAAATTACAGTGAGGGAAATCGGTGAGGGAAATCGAAGAGGGAAGTGACAGGTAAAGTGTCACTTCCAAATTTTTAAAAAGTCAGTAATGACAAGATTACATATATGATTGCAAATAAAATCTGTTTTTTTTTTAAAGATAAAAGTCAAAATGACATTATGTTGGCAATACAATGTAAAATTGTCAATGATTTCAAATTTTTTATGTAGAAAAGGCTTGTGTTGCCAACATAGTTACTAAATTTTTGACTTGGGGAATTATCTTTAAAAAAAAACAGACTTTACTAATTTCCGGTAGTTTCGAAATGTAGTATCTACTTCATTTTAAAGTAAACACTACGAAGAATATACTACTCGTCGTAGTAGCAGATACTTTGTTTTTTTTTCATACCTCCCTCTGTCTTTTCCATTGATAATAATTTAATTGTGCAATATAATTATCCATCCAGGCACACAGGAAAACAAAAACAAAAAATATGTTAGGTTAAGATCATGTATTTGACATAAAACCGCATCCGGAATTCCGTTTCATGTGAACCATCAAAAATTACGATTTTCAAAAAACTGCGATTTCCGGACCCGCAATGCGGAATCCCGCACCATGAGAACTAGGCTTAACTCTGTAAAGAAAAACAGTAATTTAAGTTTATTAAACCCTTTTATTGACGACTTTGGCATTTTGCGAGTCGGAGGGCGTTTGAAAAATGCACAATTGAGTTTCGAACAGAAACATCCCATATTACTTCCTCATAACCATCCATTAACAAAATTGATCATTATTTATGACCACAATAGAAACTTGCACTCTGGAACCCATGCCACACTATCATTTGTTCGACAACAATTCTGGCCTTTAAATGGATTCCCTGCTTCAAGGCCAATCCCAAATCAATAATTGCACAAATGGGGGATTTACCAAGCTCAAGGGTCACTCCATTTCATCCCTTTTTCAACACTGGTGTAGATTACGCCGGTCCATTTTTGCTTAAAGATTCCATGTTCAGAAATAAAAAAATTCTTAAATGCTATTTATGCATTTTTGTTTGTTTATCAACCAAGGCAATTCACTTAGAATTAGCTACTGAACTTAGTACTGCTTCTTTTATTTCTGCTTTAAAACGATTTACCGCTCGACGTGGTTTATGTCAAAATCTTCATTCTGATAATGGCTCGAATTTTATAGGAGCAAAAAATGAGTTTGCTGCAATTTATGCTGTTCTTAAAGATAGCAAGTTTCAGGACTTTCTTATTCAGAATACAATTCAATGGCATTTTATACCTGCGCGATCACCCCATTTTGGAGGAATATGGGAATCGGCTGTAAGGTCTACCAAGCAGCATCTAAAGCGAATCCTCAATGACGTTCCGCTCACCTTCGAAGAATTTTATATACTCCTGGTTCAAGTGGAATCGGTTTTAAATTCTCGACCATTAACCCCACTGACTGATGATCCCAATGATTTAGAAGTACTCACTCCGGGTCATTTTTTAATTGGCCGTCCGATAAATGCTGTACCCGAATTAGACATTTCCCAAGTACCCATGAATCGCTTATCCAGATATGCGCATGTTCAGAAAATGATGCAAAGTTTCTGGACACGGTGGTCAACAGACTATCTGCACACATTGCACCAGCGGAACAAATGGAAGTTTCATCACTATCAAGATGAACTGCTAGGTTCTCTAGTGCTCCTAAAAGAAGATGGTCTGCCTTCATTGCAATGGCATCGAGGGCGTATAGTGGACCTTCATCCTGGTAGTGACGGTGTGGTGAGAGTAGTTAGTGTTCTAACAAAAAACAGCGTCACTAAACGAGCCATTGTGAAAATATGTTTACTTCCGAAGGACGATTTAAATGATTGATTTTCTTGTTTTTTAATTATCTTTTTACCATTTAAATTTTTATATACAACTCAATTTACCCAGTATCTGCAAATTTTATAATTAACTTTTCCCATTTTATTGTATACCTATCTTTAATGTTAATGATATTGAAAGCATTTATGGCCGTTTCCACCAACTATTTTAGGGAAGCCTTAACGATAAGTATTCCCTAAACTGACAGTTTTCCATGGAGAAATGTCAGTTTAGGGAATACTTATCGTTAAGGCTTCCCTAAAATAGTTGGTGGAAACGGCCATTAGTTGGATACTTTCAAGGGCGGCGGTATGTTTGCATTTTTTTTAATAATAAACAGCCTTTATCAAATTGAGTAGGCAGAAAGAGAAACAATCGGAAAAATAATGCATAATAACCCGTTGTTGATAGAGTTGTCATTCAAGTTTTCAAAAAGTTAGTCACGATTTTTTAATTGTAAAAAAAATACCTACATAGATCAATCACTCAGAGCTGGGTCTATTCAATTAATAAACACTAGACGTAGCATTGGTCCAAGTGTTTCCATTCAAGGATATCATCGCTGATATCCCGTAGCAGCACCGCCAAGCAGCGCAATACCGAGAAGGTACCTATTCTTCAAGGTTGCGACAAAATTGGGCACCCTGCCCTCATCAATCATATATACCTACCATAATATATGTACGTTGTAAAAACCACGGTCTACCCCACTAACGAAAAGACTTTTTATTTTTTCGGTTTTTTATTACGGTTTTCAAATAATAACAAATGCAGCCATTTTAGAAACATACTGAATCTTCAATGTCCTTGATAAATGTGAACAAATTTTCCATTCCATTCTATGTTCAATAATGAGAACCCGCCTCTAGGCATTAAAATGAGAATTTTTTTACTTTTGTATGAGTAATTGATGTAATTCTACCACAATGTATTAATTTCTCGAATTTCGAATTTCAATCCTATTTACCAAGTGTAATTCTAAAATCTGACTATAAATCTAAAAAACGTTTTTTCTTTTAGGTTTATAATAAATGAATATCTTGAGGATGGCATTAAAAACGAAATGGAACTAACAGATATTGAATTAATAGATCCAAATAAAGGAATATTTATAAAGGAAGAAAAACATTCAAGTGACGTCAATTTATCAAGACAAGAGGTTATCAGGAAATTTCAATGTTATACTTGCAATACTATATTCCAAACCAAATCAAATTTGAAACGTCATTTAATAACACATTCAGATATTTATCCTTTTGAATGTGACACATGCAAATCAAAATTTAAACTTGAAGGCAATTTGAAGATACACAAACTAACACATTCGGATATTTATCCATTTGAATGTGACATTTGCGAAGCAAAATTTGAAGGAAAAGATTATTTGAAGGGACACAAACTAACACATTCGGATATTTATCCATTTGAATGTGACACGTGCAATGCAAAATTTAAACGCAAATATAGTTTGAAATGCCACATATTAATACACTCGGATGAGAAGAATTTTAAATGTAACATTTGCAATGCAAAATTTAAAAGAAAATGCTATTTGAAGGAGCACATATTGATACACTTGGATATTTATCTTTTTGAATGTGACATTTGCAAATCAAAATTTAAACGGAAACAGGATTTGAGGCGTCACAAACTTACACATTCGGATATTTACCCTTTTGGATGTGACTCATGCAAATCAAAATTTAAACGGAAAAGCCATTTGAAGATTCACAAACTAAGACATTCTGATATTTGTCCTTTTGAATGCGACACATGTAAATCAAAATTTAAACGGAAAGGCGATTTGAAGATTCACAAACTAATACATTCGGACATTTATCCTTTTGAATGTGACAAATGTAAATCAAAATTTAAACGGAAAGGCCATTTGGAAAATCACATATTAAGACACTCGGATGAGAGGAATTTTAAATGCAACATATGTAACGCCAAATTTAAAGCTAGAATATATTTGAAACGACATTCAGTGACGCATTCCATTGGATAAGTGTAACTTGAATGTAATGCTTACTTTGTTAAATTTAGCCAATCAAACAAATTGATAAACTAGGGTTCCAATGTAACTTTTGTGAATATAAAATGTACAGATAGTCCAAGAAACGGGGATCTGAAAACAGGGTTTACCTCAACATAATAAGAAGTTGAAATTTTTTTGGGGGGATCGGTCCATTTCAATATGCTAAACAACATATAAGTTTGCGACCTTGTACTTCTATAGGGTTTTCAGTTAGGGGTGGTTTTTAGGGGTAATTTGCGGTTTATGGAGAACGCTGCTCAAAGGGATGATTCAATTGCAAAAAGTTTCAAATGAATGTTGTAGCTGAAGTTTTTTGCTATAAAAAACTCAGGGACAGCACCCCTCTATCTTCTATAGTTTTTTTTTTCTGCAGGGTCTTGAATAGTAGCATGTTTTTGTTCAAGGTTACTGAATCAACGTTTTGCCATTTTGCGCGCATTTGATGCAGCAGCGGCCGAATGCATAATCCGATTTCAATTTTTCAAACACCACATTATTGCTAATGAAATGCACTCTCCAATGCTTTCTTGTTCGAATTTTTTGCTGGAAAATTAAGCGAGCACTGACTTGTCTAATGTGCGAGGAAGTTGTAAATTGCATCGAAAACTACCCCT